CCCATGCAAGGTCATGAAGTTTCTCGTTTTATTTGTAAATGTCATTCTGATCCCACCACCGCTACCAGAATGGAACAAATAAAACCGAAATAAAACGCAACGATTGTGATATCAGATTCGGAAATAAAATTGATGACATACAAAGTACTTCATTGATGTATCGAACACAGTAAAACAAGAGCAATTTTGTGTTATGGCCGTAGAAAAAATATATTTCTCTAATCGTCAAACGATTCATGAAATATAAATTTCAATGTTCATTACTCGCTTCAATAAGTGCCTATTATTCTATTAGATTCGTAATAATTGTAGTCACTGAAATGTGACTCGAAGTAGAGTAGAATAGCGGTTCGTTTCCATCGGATGATAATTATTATTTTACGATAGGTCACCAGCGACAAACCGAGTCGATAGAAATGAATAACCTTGTTCACCTTGTTGTAAAACCGGAAACAAGGGAAACTTTTGCCAGGTGTGTGATCCACCAAAATTAACCACTTCCTCTGATAATTATATTATGGTGCTCCATCACACATTTTCATAATATACATCTGATGATCAATACTATCTTTAATAAAAATTTTGCATATTTGGAACTACACCTTATTCAATAATTATTGTAATTCAGAAAATACAGGGTCTTCACGTATTTTGAACCTCCAGTTAACATTCTTATGTATATTGTTCACATTTTTTCCAAGGAATGTTCCGAATGTTCTTTCATATTTTTTATATACACTCAGTTCCAAAAAAAGTGAGGCACTTGATATTTGACCTATCTTCTTAAAAAAAAAATAGTAGGCCGATTTTTTTTTATTTGTTGGTAGGTAATGCATTTGTGTTGAAAAAAAATAAAGAGGTGAAAATGTTTTCAAAGCCTCCTTGATGGTGGTGGAATAACTCGAATCATGATTTATTCTTAATTTTTGACTCACCCTGTGTGTTAATTGAGTGATGGCATAGAAAGTGCTTACACCCTATACGAAAGAGGCTTCTTTTGCGAGCATTTTGTTTTTTTATTCATTGATTTATCTCTAAAATTTTCCGAATTACAGCTTTTTTGCTGAATCTTTGCAAATTACCAACTTTCTAAATTTATCGAGAAACAATTTTCTAATGAAATAAACTGATACCAATAATTTTGAAAAACATTTTTATTAAACACAAAATTATAAATTGAGATGACTGCTTAATATCTTGTATTGCCTCCTCTAGCAACTCTAAAAACTTCTAATCTACGAGGCATACTGGAAATTAAGTTGCTTATAGTTTTCATTGGTATACGATCCCATTCTTCCACTAATGCATCTGCCATTTCTGCGAGACTTTCCGGAGACCTCCCGCGAGAATGTACCCTTCTCCCTAATTCATCCCACAAATGTTCTATAGGATTCATATCGGGGCTTCTCGCAGGCCATTGTAATGTGGTAATACCAGTAGCTTCTAAGAAGTTTCGCATTATTGCTGCGGTGTGTGGTCGGGCATCAATATAAAATTATTGCCCACTAAATCTGCATAAGGTAAGACATACTGCTCTGAAATGTCAATGTAAAATTGGGCATTCATCGACTGCCTCACCGGAAAAACATGAAGGGGTGTCTTTCCATTCATTGAAATCCCTCCCCACACCATAACGGACCCACCATTAAAACTTTCGTATTCTGTTATTGAATTTTGATTGAACCGTTCACCAGTTCTTCTCCACACTCTTTTTCTTCCATCCACCATGTTAAGGCAAAACCTTGACTCATCCGTAAACAAGACATTCGACCATTCAGGAATATTCCACTGTCCATAATTTTCAACAAAATTTCTTCTAGCATCACGATGTTCGGGCAATAATTTGGGACCTTTTGCAGGTCTCCTAGCTTTTAAATTAACTTCATTTAGACGTCTACATACCGTCTGCCGAGCCGTCTGCTTACTTACTGCAACATCACGAATTTGGCGAAGATCTTGCTGAACATTCACCGCAGTATTTGATCGATTCCGTAAAATTCGAAAATTAATGACACAACGACAAATGGTCAAATATGGAGGCATACAACGAATTAGTTGCTATGACAACGGCATTTGTTTTTTTAAAGACGATGTGATCCTACCAGAGTACAACCCAATCAATTTTGAGTACTCTGATCCTCCAATAAATTCAATTTGTGGGATAAGCGTAAGGTATCAGCAAAAAAGCTGTAATTCGGAAAATTTCATAGATAAATCAATGAATAAAAAAACAAAATGCTCGCAAAAGAAGCCTCTTTTGTATAGGGTGTAAGCACTTTGTATACCATTACTCAATTAGCACACAGGGTGAGTCAAAAATTAAGAATAAATCATGGTTCGAGTTATTCCACCACCACCAAGGAGGCTTTGAAAAAATTTTCACATCTTTATTTTCTTTAAGACAAATGCATTACCTACCAACAAATAAAAAAAAATCAAAATCGGCCTACTATTTTTTTTTAAGAAGATAGGTCAAATATCAAGTGCATCACTTTTTTTGGAACTGAGTGTATGTAGATTTCATGTTTATGCCAACAGAAAAACAGTTGAAGATATGGGTATGGGCAACATTATATATTCTTAAATAGGACACCCTGTATTTTATTGCATTTTCAGATTCTCCCTGAACAGCGGATGATTTCATAGATCTATACTAGCTGACGATTACAGCGATATAGGGTGTGAAAAAATTGAAATTTTTTCAACGTTATATATAGGAATAGGTCGGAACTATTAATTATTGGCCAAAACGGTTTTCATGCCCCGATCTTAACTCTTGATTTACTAAAGCTATTGACAATTCATTGAATCAAATAACGCGTCGTTCGGCGTGTCGTTCGGCTATCTGCAATCGCGTGCGGAAAAATCACTTTGCGTACGTGTTTGGTGCACTATTTTTTCTACTAGCTTGTGGAAAAAACTCAAAAGGTAACAAAAGGTGCATATCAACAAATTAATTATTATTAATATCAATATTAAACGCGTAATTTGTAGCATTCTGCAAATTAATTACAGAAGCTAAGATGCGTATTCCAATGAAACATTTCAGTTAACGCCATCTAGCGGCGACAGCAAAAGTCAAAAATTCAAAACCAAATAAGCGTTTTGTAGGGTGAATTATGCTCTTTCATATGAGCCTAAGTTTGCTGAAATCGGTCGAAATAAACGGGAGAAATCTTGATTTGTTTAAAAAAACAATTGAACTTCTCCCACCCCTTTATTTTGATAGATAGAACAAAACGTTTCAGACAAAAAATGTAGGGTAATGGTCAGTTAATATGAAAATGATATCATCGTTATACTTTCATTGAACAAAATTCTATAAAAATCCCATTTTTCTACTTGGTGTTGGTTGTTACGACCTCTAGCGGACGTTTGACAAACTCGAAAATGATTTCCAGCAATTTCTCTTGGTGACTTTCATCATGATTTTTTTTTCTCAAATCTATGCGACCAATATCTCATGAGATATGGCCGCTCGCTACTCTTAACTGATCACCCTGTACATACAATAAATAATATTCTAAATTCGTGAGAACTGTCGAGGTTAAAAACACTACAAATTTGTTGAATAAATACAAATGTTTGCATAAGGCATACATAGAAAAATTCAGTAGGTGGTTGTTGACCATTTACGTATAGGTAGGTACATTCATTGAGAAGTTCGGGAAAAAGCTCATAACTGAATGCGTGTGAATGGACGTATGTATAGGGTGATTCATCGATATTCAAGGCTGTGTATTTTTTTCAAACAATTGTCCTATATATAAACTGACCGATTCGTTGAAATTTTGATCTTGCTAATATCTTGATGAGGTATTTTTTGGCTTTTGGACATATTGCAGTTGGTTCCCAGGGGCGTGCCAACAGGGCAGGTAGGTTAGAAATTTAACTCAAGAAGTAGCATCCATTTTTTTCTATGGGCATCTCAAAATACCATAGTTTTTGGCTTACTTATCTCGCGAAAACAATTTAACGTTCCAAAAAGTGTGCAAAATCTTTTACCTATTATATAATTATGCACAAAATATAGTTCTAAAGTAAAAATATGCTTAGCTTGATATAAAAATAGTGTTGAACTGGCTTAAAAGGCCTCCCCCTATCCTCCCTAGGTACGCACGATGTTCCACGAACATAATTGGAATTTCCTTTCGTGCGCTCCAAGAGATAAAACAAAGTTATTGTTGAACATTCAGAAATAAATGATTTCGTGGATGTTTGCTCGATTGAGGACCATAAAGTTGAAATATAAATATCTCATATATATTTTACATAACAATGCGCGAACTAGGTACTTCGCGCACTGTTTCACCTCGCGCATTGTTTTGTGCAAGGTATCATGGTAACGTAGGAAACTGAAAAAAATGAAAGAAAGTGTCACTTCGCAATTTGTTATCAATGCGCGAAGCTTGTCATTTTTTGACGTTTGTAGAAAAAGAAAGTTTTAACGCACTTTTTTTCATATTATTTGTAGTTATTTACTGTGCCGGACTGTGCCCTTGAAATCAGGTGCTTCTTACTTATAATATTATTAGACAAATCTGATGGAAATTGTTTATTTGAACCGTTATTTTTATCAATTGAAAGATCTTAATCTTTGAATAAGGATATATCAACCATATCTAAACATTGATGTTAATCGATATTTTCTACATTGTGAAACTTATTTTTGCAAGTGATTTTTAGATTTACTTATCGCGTGCCTCACTTATCCAAATAGTTGAGTACTTGAGTATATATTTTTTCTCCCTGGAATTTAAAGTATTGATAATTATATGAATCAATATCGGCCGATAATGAATTGAATATGTACGTAACTTTTTCAATCCGGTATATAGGGAAGAGAAAGATAAGATAAGACTACTCCGTCGAGTCTAGTTTTCCCGTATTTCCAATACCTGTATCATTAGTATTTATTTGACTCTACGCTGTTTGTAATCTCTTTCGAGCTAGCACGTTTTTCATAGATTCATGGTGCGAATTTTGTGCAGTGTGATAATATGGCTTTATCCAGTTTACTCAATGGTTTGTGTCCACCATGGGTCAGGCATAAGGTTGATTTGCGAGGTAATACCACAGTTCAGAGAATATATTATTGGTAATATTATAAATTATACCGGGTGACCAGTTATATTTTGACCCATTTCAAATGCTCATATCTCTGAAACCATTCAAGTTATCGTTGTGCGGTTTGGACTGGTCTATTTTGATGTTTGTCAAGTTTTTTTGACGTGTTCATCTTCTCACTTGAACTTCCGGTTCTATCGGAAACAAACAAGCAATAATCCAGGTATAGGGCAACTTTATTATTTCATTGTATCACCCTGTATATTTTTGCACATTCAGAAAGACTGGTCTTTTCTCTATCTAACAATGTATTACAAGTTGTGTTCTCCTAGAAAACTATTAGAGTCTCTTTGAAACAACTACTTCTTGTGGAATGGTTTAATGAGATTATGCAATGTTATCAAAGTTGCCCTATATCTGAATGATGGCTTGTTTGTTTCCGGTAGAACCGGAAGTTCAGGTGAGCAGGTGAACCAGGCAAAAAACTTGAAGAATTTCAAAATAGAGAAGTCCAAACCGCACAACGATAATTTGAATAGTTTTGGAGATATGAGCAGTTGAAATGGGTCAGAATATAACTGGTCAAACGGTATTAGTATACACGATTTCCCGGAATCTGCGACTGCTCCACATTTTTTTAAACACAGTTCAGAATATGTGGAACAGTTCTAAAGCGAGACAAACGATAATTCGGATAATTTTCGAAATATCACCATTTTGGAATTCTGATATAATATAGATATAATTCAATGTTCGTCGTGGCATATAGCCAGGAAAGTAGTTGTTTTCTGTGGTATAAACCGAGAAACAGTATGATCTATTTTTAATGGATACATCATTTTCAGATACTTTTTTTTTCTCGAAAAACTGACATTTGGAGGTCAATATCGGAAAAACTGTCAATTTTTTGAGGTTAGTTCAATGGTAGATCTGTTCAGTATATCGAATTCTGAAACATACCAAAAATTCAGCGATTTTCATCGAGAGCCATTTTCCCTATAGTTTAGTGCGGGGTCCTTTGAAGTTGTAAACCGATTTCAATTTTTTTTTTTGAAATGTCAAGTACTAAAAGGTCTACCTTGGGACAAGATTTGAAATGTTTATTCCAATTTTCAGGGCATGCTACGATAATTTTTCTTAGTCGAAAATCAGGATTTTTTATTAGCGATTTTTTTATTGAAAAAATCACTACGCCACTGGATTCAGAGTGCCTCTGAACAGGTGTGACTAGAATTTCATGAAAAAATATTCAAAAACTCGAAAACTCACACAGCTAACAGTCACAAAAAACACCCTATATCAACAGATATAGCCGTGAGAATTTTTTTTATGATTTTAACAATGAAGTGCCACCAGATGAAAGAAAATTGATAGCGTATTTTTTTTTTAATTTTCTGCTTCATTATTAGTTGAATTGTGTGAATGTTATTACTTCATTTTCATTAAAGAAATTTACGCTATCAATTTTTGTTTCATCTGGTGGCACTTTATTTTTGAAATCAAAAAACAAATATTCTCTTGGCTATATCTGTTGATATAGGGAGTTTTTTTGTGACTGTTAGCTGTGTGAGTTTTAGAATTTTTGAGTTGTCATAACTTTGTTATTAATGAATATTTTTCTCATGAAATTTTGGTCACACCTGTTTAGAGGCACTCTGATTCCAGTGGCGTAGTGATTTTTTAATAAAAATTCACTAATAAAAAATGCCGATTTTCGACTAAGAAAAAATATATGCCCTGAAAATTGGAATAAACATTCCAAATCTTGTCTCAAGGTAGACCTTTTATTACGTGACATTTCAAACAAAAATTATTGAAATCGGTTTACAACTTCAAACTTTAGGGGGGTGTTTCCATTAAAAATGGGTCACACTGTTGATATATCCATTTTTTCATGTTCATATTTCACCTGAGAATATTCCTTCTCAAGTTCTACGGTTATGGAATGATATCTTTCATAATCATGATATGGCTTTATTGCCCAATAAAACTTTGTCAAGTTACCGAATTTGAGTGAAATATTATGAACCGTTTCACAGTTATAAAGCAAAAACGTCTTCCTCCCAAACTAAGCAACTTTGTTCTGAGGTAAGTTTGCCTGTTTGGAATTGTTTCGGTCTGAGGAATATGTGCTAAGTTTTTGTGAAGGCCTTTTAGGGACACGCTGTATATGTCTTTCAATTTCAAATTCTAGTTTTTTTTTCATTTTCGAAACCGTCACATTGTGTGTTTGTGGTCGTCCACCCATACTGAAACTCTACCTGAAATAGATGAACAAACAAATTGGAAACTAAAACGCTCTCTGATGTAGATGGGTAACGAAGCATTTGCGTACACATGTATATAGGGAAAACATTTTTATTTTTACCTGAAAAATGAGCCCATGAAATTTTGACACTGAAACACCCTGTATATTATGATTACTTGAGTAAGATTCTTGGAAAAATGTGTCTCCTCATGCTTGAAGGATATTTTCATTCTTTCCGTGTATTCGATATTCACAAGGTAATTCAAAAAATATCACCACGGCAACGAAACAAAACTGAGCGAGAGGTGGTTATATACAGTGTGTCCCACTTACCATGCTCACCATGGGTATCTTTTTAACGGTGAGAGATACGAGGTCGGTTAAATGACACCAAATGTGGAGTTTGTCAAGGCCAACTATAATGTGAAAAAATATTTTGATGAAATCTATTCGTTTTTGTTTACGCAAACAACAGATTTTGATCATTTTCATGTCTCCTCCGTAACTTCTTCATTTATGAAAATATTCAAATAGGAATTTCACATTCTCATGGCAGTTTTTCGAAGTGATTTCGGAAAAAATATGAAATTTATACCAACTCTTCTAGAATTTTAGAACAAATTTTAGAACAAAAAATTTTTATAACTTAGTTACAAATAGCTTTTTTTTCTCTTACAGATGATGTGTCGCAGTAATAGTTTGTGTTGATAACAACGGAGTTATCGTCATTTATACATAAACAATAAATTATTTGGAAGCCGCCATCTTGAATTTATACATTTCAATAAAAAATCATGATCTCCGACCTCAAAAACCTCCAATTACCAATTTTGAATGGAATTGGACCAAATCTTGTCCGCCATCTTGGAGCAGCCATTTTTTTTAATTTCAACAAAAATTCCATAATGTATTGTCACCGAAATTATGAACACCTGCCAAATTTCAAGTTAATCGGAGTTATGGAATTTTTGTTGAAATAAAAAAAATGGCTGCTCCAAGATGGCGGACAAGATTTGGTCCGATTCCATTCAAAATTGGTAAGTGGAGGTTTTTGAGGTCGGAGATCATGATTTTTTTGTTAAAATTTATAAATTCAAGATGGCGGCTTCCAAATAATTTTTTGTTTATGTATAAATGACGATAACTCCGTTGTTATCAACACAAAACTATTACTGCGACACATCATCTGTAAGAGAAAAAAAAGCTATTTGTAACTAAGTCATAGTGAGCTATGACCTACATTTGAAAAACTAAAGTTGGTGCTGATATCTCAAATTCTAGAAGAGTTGGTATAAATTTCATATATTTTTCGAAATCACTTCGAAAAACTGCCATGAGAATGTGAAATTCCCATTTGATTATTTTCATAAATAAAGAAGTTACAAAGGAGACATGAAAATGATCAAAATCTGTTTTCTGCGTATAAAACAAAAACGAATAAATTTAATCAAAATATTTTTTCACATTATAGTTGGCCTTGACAAACTCCACATTTGGTGTCATTTAACCGACCTCGTATCTCTCACCGTTAAAAAGATACCCATGGTGAGCATGGTAAGTGGGACACACTGTATGCCTCCTCTCTATCCCGCGGTGAGCCGGGGATAGCCGAATCAGTCTCTCTTGCTATGTTGCCATTCACATGTCCTATGTGTAACGATCGGGCAAACAATCTGTATAAATAGCTATCACGTTCATATTCAATCAATCAAGGACATCTCTTTTGTGTTTCAGGGGTCCTGGACATGACCGCCACGGAGAACACCATCCGTTTCAGTGTCCACACCCTGGACAAGGCGACCAAGGCCAAAGTCACCCTAGAAAATTATTACAGTAATCTGATAGCCCAACATGTGGAGAGGAAACAAAGGTAAGGGTATTATTTTTTTCTACTCACATAACTAAAATGGCATTTAGCGTACGGAGTGTACCACGCTAAATGATCGATTAATCACGGTTTGATGATCTGTGATTTATTCCAAATATTAAACACGTTACCATGGCAACCCGATTTCTTAAACACATTACCATGGCAACGCAGTTCATTAAACACAGCTTCAGTAATTTGAGACATGTTTGGCCTGTGAATTGTATTAACTGTCAACTGTCATTTTCGAATTTGGTATCAGAATTATTCGTGTTCACCTTAGTAGAACTTAGTAGAACTTTTAACTCAAACCATGTTTATAATGATCCTTTTATACATAAATAATGATTGACGACATAATTCGATCGAAAAATTAACTGGAATGTTTTATTTTTGGACATAAATAATAGTACCTTCTGAAAACGGACCCTCTTATGACGTAAAAACCTCATCTCGCCATAGTTGAAAGAAAATACCAAACGCTCGACGGAGACTGATGCAACTGATATATTAATTCTTTCAACTGTGATCTCGCGATAATTCACTCTGTCAGAAATCATGTATCATTCATCTCTGTCTGGAATAGTCTTGTTTCAGTATTAGGGTTTTGATGTCACATCATCGCCTCGTTTTCAGAGGTCCGAAAAATCGGGGATTTCAATAATTTTTTATAAGGAGCTCACAGCAAGAAACGGTTTGCGGTGGTGAGCTAGTTTGAGTGAGTTCTATCGAATTATGAAATAAAATTTTTTTGTGATATTCTCGCTTGTATCAGAATTCTTCATTAAAAATATATGCGAAATGTAGACGAAAGGGAAATCGAAGAGATTGTTCTGTGCGCTAAGCCTGACAATAAACGTGAAACAAAGGTTAGTAAGCAAATGGACTGGACACATCTACAACCAATATCACTTATACGTGTCTCGCTCTTTGCATGCAGTTGCAATTATTATGTTCTCAATTCCCATTTCGAATTATTTTGTAGGTTAGCAGGAATAGCAGGTATGTTAATGTAGGTAATTTTCGGAGTTCGTAGAAAAAGCATAGTACGTAACGCGTTTATTAAACACTCGTTACTAAAAGGACGTTTATAACACTTGTTACATAATATACTATTTTACCACCACTAGCTATAAAACGTTCCATTATTCACTCCTTTCCGAGCTGTAAAGTGTGTTTTCGTCATTTTATGAACCACTAGTTAATAAAGCCACCTATGCTCTAATTTACCCGAGTGCACTGTTCTGATGCGATAATCGCTGGAGTGGCACTCGATTCTAGTAAATAACTACTAGATTTTAATTAGAATCGAAGAGAAGTGCTTTCACAGTGACAATACGTCCATACTTCAGTTTCACAAAACTTGAATGATTGAATTGTATTGCTAGTGATGAAAAAAATGTAATATACACCTTGGTAGTGAAGAATACTATTACCACGAGACATTATACCCCTTTGGTCCCTGGTTAATAATGATACTCTTTACTACCTTGGTGTATAAATAATTATTATGCACTTCAGGGATTTAAAGGGTACCTTTATTCCCTATATTTGGTAAAAAAGTGGTACTTTAAATCCCTAGGGATTATTCGGAAGATTTTATAACCTGTCAGCAGAGATGAAATCTCTAACTTTTTTCCAGACAAAGAAAAAACTTAATAAAAGGAAGATGTCAACAAATATACTAAGAATATTAAAAACATTTCGTTTCTGCATTCAAATCTGAAATTGTTCGATTCTGTTTTGTGAAAGGGAATTTCAATCGAATTTATGTTAATCTATACCTAGAATTTTCACTGAGAAGTTCGGCGATTAGGTAACGAGATCTCTAACAATTATACCAGGTGGTCCTTCAGTTATAGCCCTAAAGAGAAATTAGCAAAATCGATATGTTACGAAGATAGTTATAATAGTATTAGTAACATTCATTGTATTTTTCTTGTATTGACTCCAGTTTCGTTCTTTTCATTACTTTAATAGATCTATTACTATTTGATGGATGTTGTTTTGATCCAAAATTTGACGTTTCATGGCTAAAATATCTAGTTCCGTGCTCAGCGGATGATTATTTTCTGCTCTATGAGCCTATATGTATGTCATATGTTATGTCTTATTCTTGTCATAATAATAATTCTTGTCAAAATAGTGCAAAATTTCTAAATCGTGCGATAAGTTTTGATTAGAATGACATTCATAATGTCAAATGTCAGGCTTTTTCAGTCTCTTCTGATTCAAATCTGTTACCTTACGCAAACGAAATCTCATACGAAAAATTAAGAACCAGGAACAACACTGATTGACTCAGTCTCTGAGTGGTTTCCGAGCTTGATTCGCTTCAAATGATATAGTCGTACAATAAATGTATTGTACATTATCGTTCGTGAGGTTTTTTTACTCAGAATCAACTATATCTACCTCTATTGTTGATGTTTTTCTGTTTATCACCCTGTTTAATATTTCAAATTGATTCAAATTGATGAATTTGGAAAGAGGGATGTCCATTAAAGTTATATGTTATACAATGTGCTTCTTGTGGCTGTTTGAATTCGAATCATAATTTAGTAAACCATTATTTTATAAAAATGCTCTGGTTGATAAATTTATCAACAACAGGGTTGGTGTATGGATGAAATTATGAAAAAGTTGCTAGTATCCTTGTGTAGGTTGATGAATTTCAAATGCACGGTCTACCTAAATCACCCTGTAAAGAAACCAACTTCAATCTTCGGCATATAGTCTCGTCCATTATCCATTTTGATGCGCCCATCATGCTGAACATATACCTTGAAAAATTAGTAGTAGTTATGCATTGTACTTGAACTGTTCCGATCTAATTTAATCTTGAAGCTGGCACTATAATTCATACATAATATAATTCATCATTTAATAATTGCTCTCTAGTCATACATTATCTCAACCCAGAACATCAATCGAACTTTAATTTTATAGTGCTGATGGTGGATTTCTTCTCTGAACGAAATTGGAAAAAATCAACAGTATTGAGAAGATTATTTCAATTCGACAAAAAAATTGTTCTTTCCGGTATAAAGCATATTATTTCTTGCATGTATTAATTTCTATTCGTACATACAAGGTGATCTACAGTGTGACCCACCTAAATCGAAGGCACCCTTATAAAATCTACAAGTTTCAATTTTTGTTTTCATGTTAAAAATGGCAAAATATCATTAGCGATATGTTTCAAGAAAATTTAGCGCCACCACTGGATTCAGCATTTTTCAATTCGATTCATCGCAAAATATCATTGAAAATTTCACACTTAAAATATTTTCTACCAATTAGAAACCTGTATCATGTATCGTTTCCATAGCAACTAAAAAAAATTCTGAAAATTTTTTCCTCCTATTTGGGGAAAGGAGCATGAAATTACACTGAAAATTTTTTGAAGTTTATAGGTGAAATGACATTTACATTTAACTTCAGATCACGTCGAATTCATTTTATTATAGTTGATGAGTTCCTTGTAAGAAAATATGTTTCCACCTGCAGTGGAATGAAGTTGGTCAAGAATAATAGTTTGAACTTCCATCAGCTGCCTTATCAATATTTTGCGTAACTAAAATCTGCATTTTGTATTTTATTCAGCGTAATCTTATCGTAACTTTTTTTTAAATTTCGGTGTAAAATTTTCTTACCGAATACTGCTCCAGCTTCAATTAAAAACTGCAAATTCTTTCTCGAACACGAATATTTAGAAAATTAGTGTTCTCGGTAACAATTAAAGCTCTCGTATAGTATTATGAGTGAAAATTCCACACCAGTAACTTTTAACCAATCATTTTTTTTTTGACAAACCACCATAGCAACACTTACCTCCTCTCCCTATCCACCCAAGGTACGCACGATGTTCATCGAAAATTATAGGAATTTACTTTCGTGCGCTCCAAGAGATAAAAAAATGTTTTTGATCGAATCTCATATTCGCTATGGAATAGCTTTCTGGGGCCATTGTAATTTACAGTTACTGAATACAATATTTGCACTTCAGAAGAGGTCATTGAGATATGTTACAAAGTCTAAATCGAGAGATCACTGCAAGCCTCTATTCATTAATCATAAAATATTAACTGTCACCTGTCTATACATAATGGAAACAGTATGCTTAATTCATAAAATAAAACTAGCATGTACACTCCTGGAACAAATTGTCACAATACCGGACAGGATCATATGCTTTATTTACCTATTTCTAAATTTGCTTTGACAAAACATTCTCTGATATATGAAAGTATCAAAGTATACAATCACCTCTCCATTATTCTTAAAAATATCACAAATAACAAAACATTTCGAAGTTCAGTTAAAGATCTTTTAATCGAAAAAGCCTATTATTCGATCTATGAATTATACTGTGATAACCTGTGAATTATTATCACTTGAATTTTAAATATTTGCCTGAACGCAACTATGTTCATTAATGTTTGGTTTGTGAAATTTTGTTGTTTCTTGTTATTTTTTGTTTGTATTTCTTATTATCTTTGACTTGTATTTATTATATGTAAATTTCATGCTTTGTCAACAAGATCTATTATCTTTGACAATAACGTATAATTTGACTTGACTTGACTTGACTTTTAGTGGAAATTAGTCCAGGTACCGAGGTAGGTACCCAACAGAGAATTGAATATAACATTTTTTGGCGTTTCACTGACAGAATAATATAATTTTCTGCCATTTGTATACCGGGTGACACTGATTCATGGTATACCCCCCTTTTCTCCTTTGCTTTTTTAGCTACATTTCTGAAATTTGGAACATCGAATTTGCTCACTAGAGGGCACTCTCTAACATTTGAGGACATTTTTCTCATCTTTTGGTTGTCCTGGAAATGATATCAACTTTCGATTTTCAAATGGAACACCCGGTATTTTATTCCTTGATCTGTTAGGGATTATTATAACGAATTCAACAATACCGGATTTGCTTGGGTAATTTCGAACGATTACGAAGATATTCGCGTTTGAAATTTCCATAAGCTCAATGAGTGTGACAGAGAAAGGAACATTCGTTATTACGCGAATATCTTCGTAATGGTTTGAGATAACCCATTCAAACCCGGTATTGTTGAATTTGTTATAATAAACCTGTATAAATGTAACTGTATTCGATACCTGTCTGAGTGTGGAGCAATAGATATTAACTGAAATAATTCGTGTTTCAATAGTGATCCTTACGTAACGTTTTTGATACTCTTTCTACTGAAACAAAATATCTCAATAACTGATTCGGTGGAAAACTTTAGATTTTTCTGTAATAGTCCATACTCAAAGTGGAGTGGAATAATCAAGAAAGAAAACTCGAAGTCGTCTCCACAAGTTTTAATGTTAAATACATGCAGTCAATCCTGCTTCAATAAGGTTGATACATGTTTCGGCCATTCAAATGGCCATGTTCAGTCGATTAGGTACATCAAAGTGAATGTGGAAATAGTTATAACATCGTGAAGGCGAAAAAGAGGAAAATCTTGATCTTAATAATACATAATTACATAAATACCTAAATACATTAATTATTATTACATTAATTACATTAAGATAAAGGATTTACTGCATCTATTTAACATTAAACTTGTGGAGACGACTTCGAGTTTTCTTTCTTGAACTTTAGATTTTTTAATGGTGCTTCGATTTTGAGTGAGACATACTGTATGTGAAATAAAAGGCAAACAAATTTCTACTTTCCAGGTTAGCAAAATTAGAAGAATCCATGAAAGACGACAGCCTATCGGAGGAACAGAAACACGAAAAGCGACTGCAACACGCTCAGAAAGAAACGGAATTTCTGAGGTTGAAGCGGTCTCGGTTAGGCGTCGAGGACTTTGAACCTCTCAAGGTCATCGGACGCGGAGCCTTCGGCGAGGTTAGGCTAGTGCAGAAAAAAGACACGGGTCACGTGTACGCCATGAAGATATTGCGGAAAGCGGACATGTTGGAAAAGGAACAGGTAAGTGTTATACAGGGTGTCCGCTAAAAAGAGGTAAATCCATTAACCACATATTCCTTGAACAAAAACAATATGAGTTTCTAAATACCATTTTTCATTTTAGCCCTTCATATTCGATATACAGGGTGTCAAAGTTGGAAATTAAAAACTGTTTTTTTCTAATTACTCGCGTATTTGATAAGATATCAATCTCAAAATTGGTACATTACTTCAGCACAAAGAGTTACATCGTGTGAGGAAAACATAACAGAAAATAATTGTCAAATATTCAAAATACTGGGGGTCAAGTACACACTTACCCCCATATTTTTTTTGTACGTGCGCTAATGACTTCCTATCTATTTTCCTTCAAGTGTTCAATCATTTTTGAGTATTTTTTGTTTCTTGTAAAATTTCGATTAAATCATTTGTTTTTAAGATAATTCGAAAAGTACTGGTTATTGTTTGATGCCTCGCGGCTTATGGTAATCTCATAATGTTCACATACTCCTATTTATTTGGTCGAAATTGGAAGAGGGCGTATCGTATTACGCACGGAAAGGTAAATATGGAAATACCGGGTGCTCAGAGCGAATGTATTAAAATAATTTTTCTTTTTTTTTTTTTTTGTAAAAATAATTTTAATACATTCGCTCTGAGCACCCGGTATTTCCATATTTACCATTTCGTACGTAAAAAAATACGCCCTCTTCCAATTTCGACGAAATAAATAGGAGTATGTGAACATTATGAGATTACCATAAGCCGCGAGGCATCAAAAAATAACCAGTACTTTTCGATTTATCTTGAAAACAAATAATTTTATCGAAATTTTACAAGAAACAAAAAATACTCAAAAATGATTGAACACTTGAAGAAAAATATATAGGAAGTCATTAGCACACGTACAAAAAAAATATGGGGGTGTGTACTCGACCCCCAGTATTTCGAATATTTGACAGTTTTTTTCTGTTTTGTTCTCCTCACACGATGTAACTCTTTGTGCTGAAGTAATGTACCAATTTTGAGATTTATATCTTATTAAATACGCGAGTAATAAGAAAAAAACAGTTTTTAATTTCCAACTTTGACACCCTGTATATCGAATATAAAGGGCTAAAATGGAAAATGGTATTAAGAAACTCATATTGTTTTTGTTCAAGAAATATATGGTTAATGGATTGACCTCCTTTTAGCGGACACCCTGTATATGTCCGCGTCAATTAGTGATAGTCATTTCACGTATTGTCGGCAAACAGCGTAACTTCCATTTTCTGCAGTTACTCTGTTTGCCGGAGGTTTGAGGAAGGAAAATATCCTTTCTGCATATAATAATAATAAGGTTTATTCAGATTCAGAACACAAAAAAACAACTTATAGTAACACATGTGCTGAATAAACGTGGTGGAAACCACAGAAGCATCAAATGTTGCTTGTGTGTGGTGAAAAAAAAATGAAAATGAAAATAAAATATGATATCGAGTTAACATTAGTATAGGTATAGCAATAAATTATGATAAAAGGATTCGCATGTGTAAATAAACTACTTAATATATGAGATTAAAATCAAACGATGATAATATATGCAAAAGAAGAAAGACTATTTTTCCGCCTAAATGAACCTTCTTCCTAGAAAGGACTAAGCATTCCAGAGAATGACGGAATTCCCTGTTTGACGCCGACATATACATTTATCTCCATGGAAAACAATCTCTATTGTATTCATCAACTCACCTCAGAAAAAAAAATAGATACCTCCGCCCTGAAGTTGTGCTATTCGAAAATTCGACATTATTTATTTTTGCCTTATACCGATAAGTATGCACCATTAGTGTTTTATTATTAAAAAATAAATGAAAATATCTCCATATTTTACATAGTAATGACAATCAACTTCCACACGAGCTTCCACAGCAAGAGTGTACACCCAGTATACAACACAATACATGAGTCGTATCGAATATTATTGCAATGGATTAATCGCGGTCGAGATCGCGGTATATGACGTCACACGTTGTCATGCCCTGATGAAAAAAAGGTTTGCGACACTGAACAAGTTTAGGTTAGTATGCTTCCAAATAATGAGATAATATTTTTCACTGAAACATGTTCTTTTGTTTTCTATCGTCCATCCATTTTTTTTATTCTGACTTCTAGGATCTTCGATTCCTTTCAATATTTTTCTTCTTCATGTTTGACCCCTCAACAATACTGAATACGCCCCTGTGGCTTGTAGTATCGACTACAATAAATCTCTGTCGTTTGTCAGTTCAAGCTTTTTTGTCTGCGAGAAACATTGATATTTTGATCTTAATTCACACACTATTCAAAGTTTTTATTAATAATTCATAAAAAAGTACAATGAAGACAATGAAAAATAGAGTGGAGGATAATAAGAGCAAGCCTAAGAGTTTGTTGTTATCACTACAATAAAGACACCTGAGTATTTCAACCTGCCAATTATTCTAACATCGGCTTGTGCAAAATCACCTTCTGATCTTGATTTCCACACTACTCGTATGAGTCCTACCGACTGCGCCATATCAGAAAATTTTTAATATAACTATATTTCATCAAGACCCAAATTCTATTGACTTACTTAAAGTTTTCAGCATTCGATCAACCTCTCTCCTTAAATGGATATTGAGATGTTATTCACTTTCTGTATTGGATATTGTTTATAGTTCATGGAAATAACAAGTCTGCGTGTTATACTTTCAAACTGTATATTTTGTCCCAAATCAGAACCACTCGGAACGCACGCCGAAATCTTTGCTATCATTCCACCACTAGCAATATCATTCAGACGTGCTCAAATTATGTCGAACATCTATTTTCCGAAACTCGTTTGACAAGATAAGAGTACTGCTCTGAACAATCATGGAATGATCGAAAGGCTCACTACAGTTGAAAGAATTACAAGAAATGGTAGCAAACTTTCTGAAGAAATGAATTCTTCCACTGAGACCATCCTTCATACCATTCTGCATGATATATCTGATATGTCAGTGCTACAAGACGTGTCATCGTTCGATTCGCCACCAAACCATCAGACTGTCAAGTCGCGAAAAAGTATCAGGTTGTCTCGCAAGGGAAGTTCGAACGAAGGTTCTTTCACCATCGAATCCACGTCGAAAAAAGTGGACAGGATGATGAAGAAAAAAGCGGTTTACGCGAATGTTTCATCGAAACATTGTAAGAGAAAAATGAGTAATACATAATCTTAGTCGTTTTATCGATTTATTTATATTGATATTGTTTAATGTTCTAATATCTTATAATAGTAATATTTTTCTAAATACCTCAACATTATCTTATCTCAATTTCCCAACTATTCGATTGACTCCTACCGACTGCGCCAATATTTATTTACCCTGTATATGCCCGTTTCCAGGTGGCCCACGTGCGAGCAGAACGAGACATTCTAGTCGAAGCCGACCATCAGTGGGTGGTCAAGATGTACTACAGCTTCCAGGACCCCATCAACCTCTACCTCATCATGGAATTCCTGCCGGGCGGCGATATGATGACGCTGCTCATGAAAAAGGACACCCTTTCCGAAGAGTGCACGCAATTCTACATCACCGAAACCGCCCTCGCCATCGACTCGATACACAAGCTCGGCTTCATCCACAGGGATATCAAGCCGGACAATCTGCTGTTGGACGCCAAGGGGCATCTGAAGCTGTCGGATTTCGGGCTGTGCACCGGGCTGAAGAAGTCCCATCGGACGGACTTTTACAGGGACTTGAGCCAGGCGAAGCCGTCCGATTTCAGTGAGTATTCTTGTTCGTAGATGTCTTAGATGGCGGTTTATTGTCACACTTGGTTGATTATTATTATTTTTGACGTTCGGTATGGATCTAGGATGAGGACCAACACCATTGGCAATAAAACAGTGTAACTTCGTTTAGGCTAATAACTCGTTTACATATTATAATCAAAAATACTTCTTTCACTAATAACTCCCTTCTCAACTCTTATCTATCCAAAATATCAGGAATGAAGCTAGAATAAGAAATAGCAGCAATTCATCTTCTGTATTATCCGACTTCTCTTCGTGTGATGTTCCGTATTCGCCAACGTGGTCAGTATCTTTTCATTGTCTCCTCTTTGTGCTGTGTTTCGTGTTCGTCAGCGTCTCTATTCTCCATTTCCTCTTTGTTCGGCGTTTCGTTGTCACTAACGTCTTTATTCTCAGTCTCATCTTTGGGTATCTTCCGTTTCCAAAGTTGGTTACCCGAATGGTTCACCGAAAATGGTAGAGTGGTAATCACTGGTTGACAGGTATGCCTGAATAATTTGGTTTATCTGCGGACACAGGCGTGTTGTCACCTGTCAAAAAATGTTTTCACACGTGAGAGGTTATAAATTTTTCATTCAATTTTGTGAGGATGGAAGATTGTTTATCATAGAATTATTATTCACTTATGTTATGCATACATCCATATATTTCTCCATTCCAAGATTTCCAAACATCCAATAGAACTCCAAACTTCAACCCAAATTATTTTTGACTGGTTCATCTGGTGACATGTGAGGAATCATATCAACTAGGGTCCCTTGATGCAAACTGACGTATTTGTCATCTAACAGGGTACGGACAGATCATAGCTCCTTTCTCTTTTAATCATCTAGTGACTTCGGTTTCGTGTATTGGCGTCCCTGATATGACATTGCTGTCATGTCACATTCATAGGCGTTAAAAGAGATCTTACAAAATTTTAATCTCATACTTCATCTTAATACGACATTATTCAATTCTGTTTTGGAAGGATGGTAAAATGGAGAAAATTGGTAAATACATCAACAAAATATTCGAGGTACAACTAATACGAAATCACATATTATACTTTCTCATTGTGCCTATGATTATCCACTCTAAAAGTTTTTGAATGCATTTTAGTAGACACAGTTTTGATTAAAACGGAGGATTGAAAGAAGAGGTACATGCCCTACCATTTGAACAATTATACCTACATTCAGGAAATATTAAATATTCGTGAAAAACTGCGAGAATGATTCCCAACATGAATATATACAGCACACATGACATATGAGCACATTAGTTTAAATACCTACGTAACATTTTTCACCATTTCTCAACCATAAGGCTTAGTCTGAAATCAAAATTCATTTGTTGATAGGTAGTGCCTAAGAACAAATTATGCTGGAGTTGAAAATTCAAAAACTCGAAAATTATCATCATCATTTGGATATAATATGTAGAGTTGAATGAGAATTCACTTGTGGAAATTACGTATGATACGCCAATGTCCTCAATATAACCTAAAAAACAACAAATGTCAGTAATCTAGTTGTTATCCCCAGAAATGAATGAAAATGGAACTATATAACTGTTTCACAAACAAGATGACAAATACGTCAATTTACATCAAGGGACCCTACGGCAAACTAGGGTCCCTTGATGGAAATTGACATTAAAGTCATCGTAACAGGGTACGGACAGATTCTCGTCTCCTCTCACTCTAAAGTGTTCAATTCTGGGGATAAACACTAGATTTTTGGCATTTGCTGTTTTTTAGGTTATATTGAGGTCACTGGCGTATCATACGTAATTTCCATATGGAATTCCTGATTCAACTATACCAAGATATAGATGAACAATCCTCTAGTATTAGAGTTTACTACCCCAGCATAATCTTCGCGAGGTAGGGAACATATTTCACGAAAAGAGCATGTTCTTAGACTGTATACCAGGAATGACTGAATTGACTGAATGATTTCTCTGATTTCTAGCTGAGCAGTAGTCTGTCTATTAGCTGAATAAGCAGAGCCTTATGATTGAAAAATGGTGGAAACCTCGATGTTGGTATCTAAACTACTGTACTCATGTCATGTGTGCTAGATATATTTTCGGAAATCCAACTCGGTGAAGAATTTATGGAGTTACTAATATCACACTATGTATAAAACTTCGTCTAGGACGTAAAGTGGCAGATAAAAAGTAATACGTAAAATGTGTAGGAAAATGAAGAATAGAATATACTTTACCTGATTTTACCGTTGCCCTTGAACACCAAGTCATTTTCGAATAATTTTTTGTTGAAAGTAACAAAGAAGTAGGTATACGCAGTATAACTTATAGGCACGATATTTTCACTATTGCATCCTACGTATTTTCTATTTGTGGTAGAGTGATAATTATGAAAACTGATGTCTTTCTTTCACGAAACAATCATGAAGTTCGACCCCCCAAAACCCTCAGATACCAATCTCAAATAGAATCAGATCATAATTAGAAATTTCTTTCGCTATATATTTGATCCGTCATCTTGAATTTTCCAAGTTTGACTAAACAATCATCATCTCCAACCCCGGAAAACCCCAATTTTGAATAGAATCGAATCATAATAATTACAAAACTCGTTCGCCATATGATCTTCCTCAGCAAGTAAATACCCTGTACATACCTATTATTGAAATTTCGAATGATTTCCTGTAGCGCACATGTATATGACGTGACAGCAAGTAGACAAAACTTAAGTCTCTAGATCATTAAAAAAGAATGCAGCTATGATCTGTCCGTACCCTGTTAAGATGACTTCAACGTCAATATCCATCAAGGGACCCTACGGCAAACCACAACCAACTTTGGAAACGGAACATACCCCAATTACCAACCTAAATAATTATCGTGAATGGGTCTGTTCGAGTGCATATTCGACTAACCCGTTAGTCTCCTCGTTTCCAGTAATCACCTCCAGCCCGATGGACAGCAAACGGCGCGCCGAAAGCTGGAAGAAGAACAGGCGAGCGTTGGCGTACAGCACGGTGGGCACGCCCGACTACATAGCGCCCGAGGTGTTCCTGCAGACGGGGTACGGCCCTGCCTGCGACTGGTGGTCGCTGGGCGTCATCATGTACGAGATGCTGATCGGCTATCCGCCCTTCTGCAGCGAGAATCCGCAGGACACTTATCGGAAGGTGATGAACTGGCGCGAGACGCTGGTGTTTCCCGCCGAGGTGCCCATCTCCGAGGAGGCCAAAGATACGATTATCAAGTAAGCGATGCTTGTTTTCCACTGCTACTTTCAGAACACACCGTTATTGATCATATTTTCAACTGTGAAACTAATTGTCTGTCCCTTGAATGCTCTGAATTTGATCTTCATTCGAAATGTGACAGCTGTTAGCAGCAATGAGGGCTAATATTATTTATTGTTCACCAGATCGCGCTACTGAAACGTGATGTCAGGGTTGGTAGAAGTGATAAATATAGTTCTCACTTTCGTGAATCTTTTGTGAATATTTCGTGTTGTTTGGCTTCTTCTTCGTCAATGTAGAATTGGTCGTAAAGTTTCACATTGAGAGAAAAAAAACGTAAATCGGCTCAAGTCTTTCGATAATTTGAGGCTTTCTATTTGTTCGAATATTCCACATATTGTTTTTCGAATATTTTCAATTAAACAGGCCATAGTCTTCAGAGTTATTCGGCAAAATTTTGGGATTTTTGACTTTGACATTGACCTCACGTTCAAGTAGCGCCAACTGGTGATATGTTTGCCCTCATTCTGAACGACAACATCAACTGTTCAATGATATACAGGGTGTCCCAGAATAACTTTCATATACTCAGAGCGGTAATTATACAGATGAAATACATATATTAGGAAATATCGGGTAGTTCAGACAATGGGGCTACAAGCAAACTACTTTATTGCTATGCCAAGCTTTCGAAAATTATTATTTTCTTCTTCAAGGCTGAAACAACATATGGTATATGAAACATTTTGTGACTATTCAATTCAACAAAAACAAGAACGTACTTGCAATGTGAGTTAAAAGGTATAAATTGGAATAATAATCAGTATGAAAAATATAGATAATGTATACATAAAATTGATAGGACAGTGACAAAAATCATATAATTTATATACAGGAAGAAATGAAATTATAAAATTAGATTGTTGTTGAATATCTTATAAGGTTGAGTCATTTTGAATATCATCATGAACAAAAGATAATAAATAAGAATATATCTGACTGAGATTATCAATATCTGTTTTCTTATTCATAGTATATTTCTCATTACTAATTCCAACCATCTCTAAAGACAGTCTTTTTGTTAATTTTTTTTCTGAATGCAAAATTTTGGTTTCCTCGAATTTCATATGATGATCACTAGTGATGACGTGTTCAGTGAGTCCACAATTACTTTTAAGAAGTCTGCAATCACTTTTACATTGAGCAAACCCAATCTATTTTCCAGTGTTCTACCTACTCTAGCAACGGAGCTAACTTTTTCTGAAACACCCTGTATTATTACTATTCTGTGATACTATTCCTTAATCGAGTATGTTGAGTTCCAACGACACACTTACGGACAAAAAAGTGGGACACCAATATTCTACACTCTTATGAATTTTCTGCAATTTTGAATACTTTTGTTTACATTTTGTAAAGAATATCATCAGGGTTGTCATTGATGCCTTTACACTACTTCTGAGATAGACCTAGATGTTATTTAATTTATTTTTTATTTGAATTAGAGGACACTGCAAAATAAACTCTAATATGTGATACATCGATGCTATCGATTTGACATCAGGTGTTCCCTGAGGTTCAGATTGTGGCCCTCTTCTATTCGACTGTTTCATCAATAGCACACTGAGCGCGGTGAATGAAATTATTTTTCTTCTATTAGATTCTGTTGCGAGGCTGACAGAAGATTAGGATCTCAGAAAGGTTTGGACGATTTGAAGTTGAATCAGTTCTTCCGCGGCGTCGATTGGGAGCACATCAGGGAGAGACCGGCCGCCATACCTGTCGAGGTGCGGTCCATAGACGACACCTCGAACTTTGACGATTTCCCCGATGTCAAACTAGAAATTCGTGAGTATTATCATTTTTATTCTTGATCTTTACACAAACGCTTCCAATTTTATTATTTTTCGAAAAATTTCTGGGTAGTTTCAAGGTCTCAAAAACAATGAATGGAGTCACAGTATCATATGAACGGTCGAAATTTACCACACATATGACTCACTACTGACGTCACGACTCAGTGCTTGAATCACATATAGTTGCCGGAAATAGCAAGAATTGTCTGGCTAGTAATATATAAACATTCATAAATTATTGATCATTGCTCTCCTGATATATGATAATATCTTATATCTTACAAGTGTATGAGAAATAAACATTATCAATTCGCTACAAATGGATTCAGTGTGAAACGTGGCTTCATCGCATCACATTTTGTAGCTCGTAGTTGACAGCGCAGAGCTTAGTTGCCGAGTCACCACTGGATATATACCGAATGTTTGTTCATATAGCAGGTAGTAAGGTATCACTGAAATTAGGTACTCAAAAAATACAATGACACATATTATTCCATTCTTCCATGGGATGGAAATGTGCAATGCTTGAATAGCGATTACTACTCGGCAGTTTTTGAATGTAACTGGCGTACAACAATCTCCAAACCACTCAACTATAATTTTCAATCAACTTTTTTATATCCCTACACTCAAGGTTGCCACATACGGAGTTAATAAAATAGCGGTTTGTTATTATAAGGTCTACTAGGGACAGTCTAAAATGAAATCAAAAGTTGAGGTTATTGACATTCACTGTTAGGTATATGTGGTTCTACCATAAATGTCGTTCAATTTCAATACTCGTTGGACATGGATTTGTTCTTCATCGGCATACGTTTTTTATCTCTTGGAGCGCACGAAAGGGAATCCCTATAATGTTTGAAGAACATCTCATTTCACGCCCTTCAAAGAGTGTGGACTTGTCATGTTGTTAAACAGCTGAACAAAAAAGATGAGACAAATATGTTTTTATAAGAGATGGAATGTCATTTTTCTGTACCTCTTCATTGAACAACTGCAGACATATTATTTGAAACCCTAACAGTGGCGTTATACCAAAGGCACATAAAGCTCATTTTGTAGTCATATCAATATTACATCATATAATGTATTTCCATTGAATGTCTCCTCGTTTTTGGGCAACTCAAATATAAAATTTTTAGGATTCTTGCAATTTGTTACTGAACAAGACATATTCAAAAACATTTCCGAGGGGACGCGTTTTAATATTCAGAACTGACATTTTCAATCTGAGAATATTGACAATTCGGAAATGTCAGTTGTGACAAGCGTGTCCACATTCTTGGACGTGTAATGAGATGTTAGACGCACTCTAGGTACAGTCAGCCGTTACTGTCCAACTAGCCACAAACACTAAGCAATTATAACCTCGATTTCACTTGAAAATATGAGAATTTCATTCGTTTTCTATTCTGTGAAATAAATATCCAATGTCAGCTACACAATTATACATGTCATCATTACTAATTGTAAATTTTTCAACTATAGAATCTTGAGTTCAAAATATGAAGATTTAACCCGAATCACCTAGATAAAATGTGTTTCCTGTCTGAGTTACAGGGTATTTTATTTGAAAATTTGAAAATTATTTGTGACTATAAGTACTTTGAAACTAATTGGCGTATCATTGTCATATTTTGCGGCTAAGTGTAGATACTCTGCACCCTACTAAATTATGTGAAATAAACGTTTCTGGGTACTATCAGAGGCGTACGACAGTAGCAAATTTTTAAATTCTCAAATAAAACACCCTGTAACTCAGACAGGAGACTCATTTTATCTAGGTGATTTGGGTTGAATCTTCATATTTTGGGCGCAGGATTCTACGTGTATAGTTAAAATATTTCCAATTAGTAATGAAACACCCTGTATACTTTTAATTGATTCGTCATAAAACTCTGCAATCATTCTCAAATAATTATATTTGGCGGGTTTACTAGTGTAAATATTGCTATTTCATTCATGTCATCTACTCGATTCCCATCTTGAAAAGAATCATTGATATCAGGGAGAGTTTGAAATAGAAAATCACATCATGTTTAGCACTTATAGATAAATTTTCAAGATCCTTCCGAGATAGGAGTCTGATAACGATAATGGACTTCGAGAAGACAGTTTCTAAATATCTTGTATCAAATTGGCCATCATTTTAATCTGTGTTTGTGCATTTTCTCGTATTTTACTTCAACCTGTGCATTTTCTCCTATTTTGCTTCAACCCTGAATTTTCTGTTATAATGATCCATTCATCTCTCAGTGACCTCCAAATAATATAAAAACCGTTCTTTTCAATATACGTGTTTAGGAGAAAAATTTCAAGACACTAAAAAAAGTCGTTATTTTTCTTCCAATTTATGATATAAGAATGTATCATAATGTGAATTTCGATCAGAAAAAAAATTCTGAGGCTAGAAAGCATTGCAAATATGATCACAGTGGATAGTTTCACTTTACAACCTGTGTAAAAGTTTCGTTTTGTTTATTTTCTGTCATCATTGTACCCCTCCTTGAAATCGAAAAATTTTGACTTGAGCAGACTTACGTTTTTCTTTACTTTCAATGTGGAACTTGGCGTCCAATAATTATTACATTGATGGAGAAGAAGATATCGTAAGAAGAGGCCAAATTACATGAAAAGAAGTATATTTATCACTTCTACCAACTCTGACCTCACGCTTCAGTAGCGCGATCTGGTGGACAATAAATAATGTTAGATCTCATTCCTCTGCTCTCTCTACACACTATCTAGGAGTCTGATATTGTCACAAACTGTAGGCGGAGGTTGCCTAAGTTGTGTTCTAGATCCATTAGAGAATGAACTTTGAAAGTGATAATGGTAAAGAATACTCCAAAAGGTTCCAACAAAACATACACACACGTTTATTCTTGGCTTCAATGAATAACTATTTAAAAAAACTAACTTTCTTTAGATATGTTCAAATAAACTATATTCCTGTGAGGAAGGGCATCTTCTGTTCTGTCTCCGATGGTTCGGGCACAGTGGTAAATAATCGAATCAATGAATGATCTATGATCGAATCAAATTATCGAATTGCCCGAATAATTGAATGATTGAAATGTGCTGGCTTCCTCGCGCCTTATATTTTGGAAACGTGACAGTGAGGAAGTCAGGAGGATATTCCTGGTTCGTTGAAGTCAATGCCATGCCTGTGTTCATGTTCAACTACTAATCGAAACTCGATGACTTCGAACCAAGATGATTTTATGAGAATTTTGGAATTTGGCTTCAAATATCTCCTCATTTGTGACAATATTAGAGATCGTTGTTCGAGCACCGTATCTTAAATTGTGCTCAGTGGGATTATACTGGAATAATAAATATCCTCTTTCAGCTGCCGCCCCGATGCCTCAGGACGGCGAAATCAACTACAAGGATTGGGTCTTCATAAACTACACCTTCAAGAGGTTCGAAGGTCTCACGCAAAGAGGCACCCCCACGAAAAAGTAGTGGTGCATCCACCGTTTTGCGTGTAGCTAGTGTGCAAGCGGATGTGAGGCACTCGCTTTTAGCCAATGAACTTTGAGAACGTTCGTGGTGGAAACACCGACCTTGTGAACAAAGAATGGCTGGACGATGCTAGTTCTGTTTCACGCTAAATTCAACTCTCGCGTACCACGTGATAGGCTTGGAGTAGGTGGTTGAAGAGTATCCGCAGTGTGTATATCGTACTTGCCGGAATGGGGTAATTTGAAATCACCCCTGATTTATGGATACCATAACGCATCTCTCAACGTTCCGCAATCAGTACCGTAAGACGATGAAATAAAAGTCGAGTTCGGCAATTCCATCCGAGATGCGAGGGATTTATTTGTCATGTGACCACGGATTAGAAAGATTAATTGGAATAATCGAACGGTGCAGAGCGCTGTCATGACAAATCTGTCGAAAATATATTGATTTTTGTTAAGACATATATTACTCAACGGATTTATGTGGTTAGATTTGTTGTTAAACATTAATTTTCTCAAGAAATTCACAAAAAGTGAATAATAAAAACAAACAACGCACTTAAAATTGGAACAAATTAACACTTAACATCTAAAATATAGATTAATCGCTTTGCTCGGTCAAAATTCTCGGAGCATGAAGATCGTCGTCGGATCGCTCCGATTTTAATTGCCGAACGGATGAGATTCACTTCCCCTACATCTAGATGTCATAAACGAACGACACAGATTGATCGAAGCAGTTTGACACTCGCCAATCTTGTCGTATTAATTTGTGTTATTATTTTTGTCCCGACTATCAAGTTTCATTTTTGGAATTAGCATTGTTTCAAAGCACGAGGATCAATCTGTTCAAGGTATTCCAATTCTACCAATGGGTGATAACCTGGATTATGAATATTTGGCACTGCTACAGCTGGAGTTCTGTTATGTGCGGCAGCAATATAGGAGCTTCCGCAAATCGAAAATGTCGTCAGTTCAAGATGAGACCACTGAATAGGTATCAAATCTTAAGGTTTATTTCAAGCTATATACATTTATGTCCATGAGAACAATCCCCAACCCCAAAAATTTTTCAAATATACTCCAATGGATTTGAATCTTTGCCACCATATACTCCAGCTTCAATACCTACCACACATCAAACAGCAACAAATAGGTATCTTACATGATCTCCTCAGAAGAACAGTTTGCATCAATTACTTCATCATCAATGAATAGATGAATTGAAGATACCAGATATATTCATAATCCGTACAATATCCGTTCAATCTCCTTCTTCCAACTAGTCTCCTAAATTGATGACTTTGTTATTTTTGTAATACCTGTTTGACTTATATAAAATGGAATAATATTCTCGATGAGACTTCTCTGGACTCCTTTCAATATTGTATGTAAAACAATTATATATAAATAAATGAAATAGAAGACTCCAAGTCGGTCGACCACACTTTATATCGAAAAAGAATGTTGTAAATTAGACAGTGATCGGTTTCGGCACAACGGCCATGATCAGACTAAAATGACCTCAAATACATTACTAATGTTAAGGAAAAACATGTATATGATGTCAGAATAATTATGGTCACTGTCTAATTTACAAATTTTTTTTTGGATATAAAGTGTGGTCGACCGACTTGGAGTCTTTTATTTCATTTATGAGCCCAACCTCCCTTCGCATGACGAGTTGGCACCGTTCCACAAAGCGATCATTGAAAGATGGAAATGGGCATATCTCGCGTTGCAGCCATGATCATTGTTTTGAGGAACGACATTCTATAAACAGTACTGGAAAAAACACGTTACGTTATTGTATCTATAAATCAGGGGACATCGCTGTTACTGCAATATGCCGTATGACAAGAAACAAAAAGAGCGGACCTACAATCTCCTCAGGATTGATGATAAAACAGCAATTGAAACATCATAAAGATGGCTGACCGACGAACGATAATGAGAGTACGGAGAAGCCAGCTGTAAAAAACATCTACGAGTATACACACGGGTGACCCTTGTAACTTCTGCGTTCGTAAACGGATTTTTCTTAAATTTGGTATAATTATATGAGCAACCATTTTGGATTTGATCACATCACAATCCAAAATGGCGGTTTTTTGGGAAATGCCAGCAACGTTCTTTTGTCAAATAGAACACCCTGCATATTTTTACATTTTGAGTTCACATGTCAACAAGTTTGATCTCTATGTCAGATGTATTTTTTTCCGAAAAAATTGAAATTGGTTTTTTATTTTTCCTCGTGGATAAATGAGATGTGGTCAAGGCTATTCACAATAAAGGTGGATTTACCTACATGTCTCTCTAGAACATACATTGAGGAAGAAAATGACATTTAACTTTTGTATTTCAGTGCAATAACAAATTGTATACATTAAAAAATCACCAACTAGTTCATGAATTTTCCATTTGAAAAAAAAAACAAAGTAGCTGGCATTTCCAGAAAAACCGGATGTCTGTCATTTCAAATCTTGCTTATATAACTGTACCAAATTTCAGAAATACCCGTTAACGAATGCAGAAGTTACAGGCGTGACCCGATACCCTGTGTCACCCGGTAGATATAGGTTCTAACAAGACTCCAAAACAGAGATCAACGAAATGCAGGGCTGACGTCACATACTGCGCAGGTGCCTCAACCAATTCTTATGGTGGCTTGTTGGTCTCGCATCCTCATCCTCATATATTGTCCTTCCATTCATTGTTTATAGGTCAGTGGGTCGTTGTTTTCTAAAACGTAAGTTTTTTTCGTGTATTATAGGTCTGAAGCAGTTTTGCACTGTTTTGCTTCAAAGAGCTGTGAAAACTGTAACTTACATTGTACTTGAAAGTGATCCTACATGATTTTTTTTGTAAATAGAAAGTTTTGCTGTTCCTGAGAATTGGATTAATTTGGTGAGCCGTTAGACTTGTAGAGGAAATTTTGTGCTGTATTTTCATTATGTGATAGAATGATGGTAATGATTAAGTTATTCGTTGATGTATAAACAGTACAAAGTGATGTCGATGAAAGGGCGAAAGAGTTAGAACGAAATTTGGTTTCAAGTACAATGTAAGCCATTACTTTTGTGTATATGTTAATTTTTGTTCATTGTTACAAAGTGATACTTTTTATTATTTTACAATTTGTTTTTAACTTATAAAACTGTAGTTTCTCCCTTACCGTAGCGCCAGTCAGGAGATATTATTTTGTAATTGATGATGATATCGCCTGATATCCAGCACCTCGTTTGCTTCTGTCAGTGAGATCGTATTTTTTTCCGAGCTTTTTGAGCAGGCATGATTATGAGAGTCCAGATTGTTGTTGAGAATTTTGTGGTCGAAATGAGGGACATGAGTTGAACAAGGAATATTGGTTGAAAAAAATTGAACAAATGGGAATATAGATCGGGTTTATAGTCGATTTAGTTGTTATGTTTTTATTTGTTGTCTTGTTTTCAGTTTTAAATAGTTTGCTCGGTTGAATACTTTGCATTTATTTTAGTTTCTCAGGAAAAATTTGAGGCCTCAATTTCAATTCCTTGATTTTTCAAATGTCAGAAAAAAAAATACAGCAAAAGCACATATAATCAGCAGTTGATAGACAGTATAGAAGCTTTGACACATCTGGGGTTTTCAAGAATTCTGTGAAAATCTCTGAAGATGTCTCAGTTTATTGATTTTTCCCTTAAAGAATGTCCTGGAAATTTTAAACTTACATACTTTGCTATTTACTAGGTTCCTTATTTCAGGAAAATCTGACACCATAGAAATAGAAATGCAGTATGCTGCAAGGATTAATTGATCACGTCAAAACACTGTTGAATGTTGAGACAATAAATTCGGTAATAATAGTTTATCTGAAGTAAATCATTTCAATTTTTCCAAATCGACATTCAATTCGGATAACCACAATTTTTCCTTCATTATGAAAATAGAATATCATGAAAACGTCATTTTCCAAAAAATCAAACTCAGATTCACCATTTTATTGTATTTTGATCTAAATTTGTAGTGTTCTAGTTAATTCCGATTGGAGGCAATTTTTTTCTGAATACTTGGCAAATGGTACGAATAGAATATTTCAAAACTTCTGTAGTTTTTCTTGGAAACGTTGGAATTATATTCTTGATGTATCCCTAGACATATCAATCATATATTTTACTGTGAAACAGCACCTAAAAGGCCACATATTAGGAATAGGGTTGCCAACTATATAAAAATGAAAATCGCGTTAGTTCCCAAAATAATCGCTGAAGTCGCGGAGCGAAGCAAGTTAAAAGCTACTGGCGGAAATTTTTGGGGAATCGGGATTTTTTTTTTCATGAAGAAAGGGAGATATTTTGCAACACATTAAATTTACGCAAGAAGTTTAGAGGTTGGGGAACCATTTTTTTATTGAACGAGATCAATAAAATGATTGACCTTGTTGTCATGTTTTCAAATTTATATTATTCTACAAAATACCTGAAAGGGACAACGAAGGACAAACGTAGATTCATGATAGAATGATTTTCTCAAAAGCGATAACAACTTTCCAAAACAGCCAATGAAACTTACGAAAATCTCCGAAAAAATAGTCATAGCTGAATCAGAACTATAACCGCCACCATAGAAGATTAATTGTTTTCAGAATTCCTCCACGCATTTCGCGTGGAGGAATTCTGATAACAAGACCACGCTAGCGTGGTTCTAGATACAGCATAATCGCCTAGGTTGGCATCCCTATGCAAAAAAGTGCGAACGCATCAGTGGCGTATTTATTTAATTTCTTCCGGGGTTAAATTTTTAAAAATAGTGATTTATGAACTTCAACTATTGTACATTTCAGTAATTTTATGCTCGATGGAACAAATACAAAGAATGATTCTCATCACAAATATCAGTACCATCAAGAAACTGTTTTTACTAATACCCAGCAAACGCAGTTACATTACAGAGATGTCATGTTCGTTATATCGAACTGTTGCCTCATCGCAACATCTCAGAAATATCATGTCGCAGATGTGTTTGCTTCTATACATCGCAGCGATGGAACATTCGTAATATCGCAGTGTTGCCTCATCGCGACATCTCAGAGTTGTCATGTCGCAGATGTGTTTGCTTCTGTACTTCGCTGGGATAGAACATTCGTTATATCGCAGTCTTATCTCATCGCGACATCTCAGAGATATCATGTCGCAGATGTGTCTGCTTCTGTTTATCGCAGAGATGTAACATTCGTAATATCGCAGTGTTTTATCATCGCGACATCTCAGAGATGTCATGTCGCAGATGTGTTTGCTGATGTACATCGCTGCAATGGATCGTTTTTGATACCTAAACGCGACATCTAAGAGATGCCATGTCACAGATGTGTTGGCTGGGTACATGGATAAACATTTGCCTATACATTTGTCATGATAAATATCGGACATTCAGTAGTTTGGTCCGAAGAATTTCAGAATACAAATACCATGAAATTGATTTCTATATTTCGAAAGATGATACAGAGGACCCGATATTTTCGACACCTAACCAATATTTTGTTTCTTTTTTCGCTCTGGGTTCGTGAGGGGGGGATAAAGGCCCATGAATAAGCTACTGGAAGAAATGTAATGTTGAGATGTGAGATGAAGTAGCTCTCTACGCCCCGCAATCATTTGACAATTCGGATAATGTACCATAGAATTTATTGATTATAATCAATTGTTATTTATTGCTATTTGTATTTTTAGAGTTGGTCTCGCTAACAGGACTTGTATATATTTATTTCCGAGAATGTGTATAACAAAAGAATATTAAACTCTTCTGTGCTTCATTTGACTTTTTGTTTGAATTCATTAGATAGGTACCTATATTCCTATTCTTCCGTCCACCTTAATGTCGGCATGAAAAATCTAATTTTCGTCAAATATCGCTAAATATTTTAGATAAAAAAAATTATAACACATAAGTATACTTTCGACTTATCTGCTTTCTTAATCCTCGTAACTTCAACCCTCTACCAGGGCAGGGGGAAGCACGACAACCCCGGATTCAAAATGGGGATGAGGGGTGTTGCGATGCCTCATCTTGAAGATTTCATCGAGTATATACTTTATCCAACCCTCTAATGTTGCGTCAAAATGTTTATCGATAACGAAATGAGAGATGAAATGGTGGAAGAGGCAATGTCGAATTTACCTCGAAAATATTATTCTCATTAGAGTAGGATTCGAAAATTATTTATTTGAATAGTTTGTGGATGCACTATCTGTTCGATTTACCTCAGATCATCGTGAATATTATTCAACAACCCCAATATACACAAACATCCCTGGGATCGTTTTGACACGGTTGAAACGTCCCAGTTAACACAGATTGATTCTAGAGATAGAGATATAAGAGTGCATCACATTCATGCCACACATCACATCTGTGACTGTGACTCGCGAATAGAGTCCCACTGAAATCATAATGACTGTTCTCCGGACCCTCTTGGTCATTTTGTGTTTCGCATTATGATGCCAAATGAAACTCACATTATGTATTAAAGTGACTTCTCTTCTCAACCTCAAGATTTATTGATTCCTTATGTTACATAAATAGACAAGAATGTGAGGTTCCAGTGAGTCTCATGGTTAGGGAGCCTCACAAATTCACCTACATTTTAAGCCTCAAATCCAATGAAACGTGAAGAATAAATATTGCGAATGTTTTGTGAAATTAGGAGTCCCCTGGAAATATCAATGATATTTTCTTGTGATTCGCATTGTTATTAGCGAGACATGGATGTTTGTGTTTACTGGGGTTGTTGAATAATATTCACGATGAACTGAGGTAAATCGAACAGATAGTATACGTCGATCGTCGACAAATTTTTTTGTGACAAGAAATGACAACCAAATAAATAATTTTTGAATCATATACTCTGATCATCTCTGATAATATTTTCGAGATGAATTTGACATTGCTTCTTCCACTATTTTATATCTCATTTCGTTATCGATGAAAATGTGGATGCGGAATTAGAGGGTCGGATATATATATCCAACCCTCTAATAACCGACGAAATCTTCAAAATGAGAGGTTTCACAACTAAAATAAGAATACTGCGAAATATTATTTCAAAATAAATTTGATCATTTGAAGTAATTAAAAATAGTAGTAATAAAAGTCAGAATTAGTATGATTCGGAGATATAAGTCAGAAATAGTATAATTCGGAGATAAAACTGATGAAAGTGAGAATTATTCTATAAATAAATCGGACATAAAGTCCGAAATTATATATTATTCGCCATAGAAAATTAGAAAATCAAGGTTGGTAGATTTGATGATTCTTTTGTAATTATCATCAGTTCTACTGACCTTGAAGAAAATAACACGTCGCCCCACCTGACGGTAACATTTGAAAGCATCCACAAACTGAACAAGCCGAACAAGCCCATAGATGTTTATAAGTTGACAGGGATCTAGACGAAAGACTGACAACTGGTGACATAAGAAAAAAGACAAGCGACGATAGATGTGCGATTTCTTGTATGATCTAAGGCTGACATCTGTCTGTACCATAGTTGACTGGTGACACTGGTGACAGTGACAGTAGTTTGAAGTTTTAAGTATTTTATTTTTATCAACAAAATACAAACTCAAAATAATATCCTTAATATCCAATAAAAATAAGTAAAAACTTTAGCACCTAGACCTTTTTGTGGTCGAAAGTACTTCCTGTATATCAGTGCTGATCTCATATATGAACGAATAGTGGTAAATTACCATCAAATGCATTATTTGTGACCTCAGTGAACGCCCATTTATATTTATAGTATTACAACATTTAAAAAATCAACAAAATATGGAAGATATTTTCCAGTGGTGCAAGGAAGGGAATGCCCTTCAAGTTAGGGTATGGTTAGATGAACCTGAACATGATTTGAATCAAGGGTTAGTAATTTTTTTGATATTACTAGGTTGCATATCCTTATTAGGCAATTTCACACATTGTTTATTATAGTGGGGATACTAGTTGAATCTTGAATCTATAAGGAATGTTGAAATCTTTCAAACATGAAATTGATTGGACATTGCTGGAAAATGTTTCATCCTCCATGTTGAAATATTGATAATTCTGTCTTTTTCAGTGATGATCATGGGTTTAGTCCACTTCATTGGGCTGCAATGAAAGGTCACAACAAAATCGTGGAAATGCTCTTACTACGAGGGGCAAGGGTCAGTGCCACCAATAGGGGTGATGACACTCCCTTGCATTTGGCAGCTGCCCATGGTCATAGGGAAATAGTAGGCATGGTAATAATATACATAATTTTCCAAGGGGTACAACTGTGGCAAATGTCAAAAAGTTTGTTCATTTAGTTCCCCATTCCCACTATACCAGTTCTGTTTAATTTATCTACTTCACTCAGTGCATTTTTTACCAACTGACCATATAATCTAGTAGTTTGATCTATGGTGAAAGTCCATGGTACCTATCTGGTCTAGTAGTTCGAAGTGATGATTGTCTAGTCATTTTAGAAGAAGTATCACAAAGTCCATTAGAAATGCTAGCCAAATACAAATATTCATATAAAATGCACTGCAAAAAACGGCATTTTGAGCGTCATCTGATATGGATTGAAAAATGGCACTTTCCTGTGCGGTAATTTGTTGCCGGACATACTTCCGTCATGTGATAATGAGTTGAAACAAAGGGCAAATGAAAGGGAATAATGTCCTCTTTGCGAATAAGTTAGTGGCAGAACATCATTATTTCCGAGAATATTTCGCTCCTCTCGAATGATAATATCCGACGGAGCAGTATGAAACTCAACATGTGGATCGATTTGAATACTTGTAGTGTGAGCACCACACAGTTTCACACTGGTCCATCGGATATTATCTTTCGAGAGGGGCAAAATATTCTCGGAAATAACGCTCTGCTCAGTTTAAATCGCGGCACGTTTGGATATTCGCAAAGGGGACATTATTCCCTTTCAATTGGCATTTGTTTCAACTCTTTATCACATGACGGAAGTATGTCTGGAATAATAGAAAAAATCGCTATGCCGTGGATTTGGCTCAGACTGAGGGTTGGCAAAGGCAGGTTTTTGAGATCTACCATTCAATTAGTATCCTATGGCATAATTCTCGAGTGCAAATTCCCGCACAGGATAGTGCAATTTTCTAATCATTTTGCTCAGGATAATGATTGGCACAGGTGCCGTTCGATGAACTACAATGTTTTTACTTTCCTTTGAGACATATATCATTTCGTTATCAGATGTAGGTAGAAATCTGCAGCCGGCTTTCCTACTATCTCCTTCATAAAGTTCGATTAATTTTTTCTCTGCTAGGCTTAGTATCGGAATTATAAGCGAAAAATCAAAAGAAAATTTCGTTGTTTTTTGCGAAGATCTCAAAACGCACCAGGAAATTTTTATTGAATAATTAAAGATTCTGATTCAGCAGCCCACAGAACATGGGGTACGATAATAAAATCGACTACTGGATTTTTTGCAAGAATACGGCGTATTTTGATACCGTTTGCCTGGGTTACTGTAGAGTTTCTAAATGTACTTGACAATCGGACATAACCACAAATAAATTGATGGAAAAGCAGGAACTGACAGTACACGGACGTACATGACATAAATTTCGAAGGTTTGACAAATTGAGAGAATTAGGAGAAATATGCAAGTGTATGCAGTTTCCAACTGTGAGAACATGGGAAATCAATTCACTCTATTCGAATTCCCATCCGATAACGTAATTCTACAAAAATGGAAACAGAATATGATGGAATATAAGTTCAGGCCACAAAAGTTGAAATACCAAGTCTGAATGTGTATGTTCATGCATAGTTGAGAAGTGCTAGACGACTACATAGCTCCTAGTGGAATTTGAACCACTTTTTTGGTACTAAGATATGAGCAAGATATTATCAGAGCACAGAACAAGAACGCTTAACGAGTGCACCATTTATGTTAGGTATTGAAAATGATCTTCCGATGGCCGGGTTCAAACCAACAATCCCCTTTTGCAATGTGAACGGCGATCTATAGTGAAGCGCTGAAGTCCATTTATATTTATATCTACTTCCGTATGTCTTAGAGAACCTTTATTATTTATCCTAACTGAAATCAGCTGTTATTGTTGCCATAAATATTCAACTGAACGAATGTATATACCTACATATGAGAAACTTATTTCATAGGAATAGTATTTGTATTTCGTTGGTATATATGTACATACCAACTTGATATCGACCTCGATTGAGGTCCTTCAGCCTTATCATTCAATATTTCGAGAATAAATAATTTTCTAATCAATTTATCGTGCCCTTTTACCCACTCGAGGAGACGCTATGCACTCTCATACAAAAATCAAAGACAGAGAAAGATATATGGATGTACTCTTCCCAGGACTTGTGGAGGAGTAGTAGTAGTACGTAGTAGGTGGGGAGGCTGTAGCCAAGCAAGTAGTCCCCGATGGGCCCTTTTTGCTAACCCCTGCTCTCCACATATCTACGCTTCCTTCACCTAGATTTTCTTTACGAATCTCCCTGACCTTCTGATGAAAGTCAGTATGTCCGTTCACTCTAATATAATCATGTCCTCCTGTTGGAGTTTGTCTACTCCAAAGATTTCGAATCTCAGCCTTCCGTACGCCTCACACTCGCCGAGGAAATGGAGTGACGTTTCCTCGTCTTCCCCGCATCTGCGGCAAGTGGGGTTGTCCTCTATTCCCATAACTGATCGGTGTCTGCCTAGCCTGTTGTGTCCTGTGAGTACTCCTATGAGGAGGCGGAGTAATTGGCGGTCTCTGCCAAGCAGCCACTCCTTCCTTGATTTTCTTGGACCGGCCATGAATTCCTTGGCCTGCCTGCAACCTGTGATATTCCTCCAGTATTTTCCTAGTGCCTTGTCCGCCCATTCATCGAGGGCTGACGTAATTTGGCTCCTTGCTATACCTAGTACAGGCTCTGGTCCCAGAAACGGCTCCACGGATCCGGCCCTAGCAAGTTCGTCTGCTGTTTCGTTCTCGGGCACCCCACTGTGACCCGGGACCCATACCAGTTCCACTTCTTTTGATTCTGCTAATATCTCAAGAGCATTCCCACATTCCTGTATCAATGCTGAGCTCGGTCTGGGATGACAGATAGCATTGAGTGCTGCCTGACTGTCCGAACAGATGTAGATCTTCTGCTCTGGTCCCTTCTTCACCTGCTCTTGCATCTCTGCTACGACCAGGATGGCTAAGACCTCAGCTTGGAAAACTGTGGTGTATTCTCCTAGAGCGTAGCTTTCTCGTATGTTTCTCCATTCTTATCTGCTTGGAATAGTAAGTTTGAACTTCCTATTCCATCTCAGCATGTCCAGCACTTTATTCACTCTGAGAGTAGAGATAGGAATTTCCTGTTCCACCCACTCTGCTATTTTTGCATGTCCTGGTATTATCCTTTCATTTGCCCAGTTTCCTGAGTCTCGCATCCTCAGGTGGGCCCGGGTGGGCCGCAATCGCCTCCTTCTTTATCCAGATTTGAAGCGGTGAAGCGAAAAACATAATCTTGTCTTGTCTGGCAAAACATATGATTTGCTTCGTTTGTGGTTATGTTTGATTGTCACTGCTTGTCCGTACTCTAATATACAAAAAACGTCAAAACAGCAGTGTCAAGTACATTCAGGAACTCTAGGTTACTGGGTCCATAACCTATTAGAAATCTAATGGGTTGCGTGCAAGAACTGTCAGATGACCAACGCTGGAGGCAAAACATTGAAACACAACGTCATTTTTCTTATTTGTTTACAAGTGATCGAAATAGTTTACCACAATTATTTTGGCATATGAATCGTATTTTTCCGCTATTCATCAATTCGCTCATGACATCACATTGTGCTGTTGTAAAATGCACAAAAACTGCAGCGGAAGATGAAGCAATCCGGATGGTACATTATGATTTAAAAGTAAGTACCTACTATAGTCACTCACATATAGTTTTCATTTTTGAAATTTGGTTATTTCTCTGATTTCTCATCAGAATTCCTTCTGCAATAGGAGCTAATAGAAATATACCTGAAATTTCTAGAATAATGCAAGAAGATTGGATTCATGCAATCAATCGGGAGGACTGCGGTCTGACATGCTGACGATCGTGTGTGTTGAAGACATTTTCAATCTATTAGCAGCATTAGCTTGTATTGCAGAAGTGGCAGAAGGCAGAAGGAATTTTAATAAGGAATGACAACATTTCATAATGATAACTATGTGAGATTACTATTTACCTGAAAAATCATATTCCCTAGTCTCTTGCTGCATTTTTTGTGCATTGTATGTACAACAGCACAATGCGAAGGCATGCTTGAATTAATGAATAACGCAAGAAACACGATTCGTATGCCAAAATATTGTGAAAAACTATTTCAACCTTTTGATTCCTCTGTAAACAAATAAAAAAGTGAGGTTGTGTTTCAATAATTCACAGAAGAGTGAGGTTGTGTTTCAATATTTTGCCTCCAGGGTCGGTCATCGTGCACGCGACCTATAGGTCGCGTGCAAGAACTGTCAGATGACCGACCCTGGAGGCAAAACATATTTGTTTACAAGTGATCGAAATAGTTTTCCACAATTATTTTGGCATATGAATCGTATTTTTCCGCTATTCATCAATTCGCTAATGCCATCACATCACAAAAACTGCAGCGGAAGATGAAGAAATCCAGATGGTACATTATGATTCAAAAGTAAGTACCTACTATAGTCACTCACATAGTTTTCATTTTTGAAGTTTGGTTATTTCTCTGATTTCTCATCGGAATTCCTTCTGCAATAGGATCAGCTAATAGAAATATACCTGAAATTTCTGAAATAATGCAAGAAGATAGGATTCATGCAATCAATCGGTAGGACTGGTCTGACATGCTGACGATCGTGTGTGTTGTAGACATTTTCAATCTATTAGCAGCATTAGCTTGTATTGCAGAAGTGGCAGAAGGCAGAAGGAATTTTAATAAGTAATGACAACATTTCATAATGCTAACTATGTGAGATTACTATTTACCTGAAAAATCATATTCCCTAGCCTCTTGCTGCATTTTTTGTGCATTGTACAACAACACAATGCAAAGGCATGCTTGAATTGATGAATAACGCAAGAAACACGATTCGTATGCCAAAATATTGTGAAAAACTATTTCAACCTTTTGATTCCTCTGTAACCAAATAGAAAAGTGAGGTTGTGTTTCAATAATTCACAGAAGAATGAGGTTGTGTTTCAAAATTTTGCCTCCAGGGTCGGTCTTCGTGCACGCGACCTATATCAACCTATCTTTCATCAGCTACTGAGACAGCGCGCCGACGTCAACTTCACAAACGAGCACGGAAACTCCCCCCTCCACTACGCCTGTTTCTGGGGCTACCCGGAAATAGCCGAAGACCTGGTCCAACACGGCACCAAGATCGCCATTGCCAACAAGTATGGCGAAACGGCGCTTGACAAGTGCAAAGGCAGCGTTGCCAAGCAGCTGCACGACCTCGCAGTCGATGCCGGCCAGGACCTCAAGACCATCAAGTTCAAAGACCAGAGTTGGCTGGGCATGAAGACCAGATCGCGGGACGCCACCTTGTCCCGCCACAAGGGCATCAACATCAAAGAGCTGCAGACCAAGCAGAAGATATCGGATAACCACAGCGGCACGACTTACATAGGGAGATGGCAGAACAACGAGATAGTGGCGAAGATACTGAAGATCCGCGAGGTCACTCCGAGGATATCGAGGGACTTCAACGAGGAGTTTCCGAAGCTGAGGATCTTCTCGCACCCGAATATTCTTCCGGTGATCGGCTGTTGCAACAGCCCGCCTAGCCTTATTGTGATCAGCCAGTACCTGCCGCTGGGTTCCTTGTACAACGTTCTGCATGAGGGCAGCGGAGGTACAGTTAGGGTTGGGATGATTGAAATTTCTAAATGAAAATTCCCAATTTGAAAGTTTCTAAAGTGGAATATTCCATTTAGCGGAGAAAGTGAAACTTTTAGGCGGCTGTTTCCAAACCTCTCTGACAAAATGAAAGGAGCGAATCGTCGCTTAATTTTAAGACGAAAATGTAAAATAGGGTTCTTTTTAAATTTTTGACTAGTTTTCAAAATACAAGGTGCTCAATCCGGATTCAGATTTTTATTTTTGAATTGGTTTTTCATCTAAATTTCAGACATGCATCACCCAATTTACTTGAAATTATTATTTAGCCATTATTAGAAGAAAAAAAAATACCAAGTCTGTTGGCATCCGCTGCACCTTAACTAATATCGTAAAAAAATTTACGCCAATGACTTTCTTTGTAATCTCAATTTTTTTCGAATTGAGCTTCTAATGTAACAACTTTTTATCTCCCACGTTATTTCCGTATCTTGCTTTGTTTTAGAGATGAAAAAGAAAAACCACTATTGCATGCCCATAAATCACACAATAACCATAAAAAACAAAATACATTTTTCTTCAAATCTCTTGCAATTATGACTTAATTTTATGGTGGAAATAAGGTATGCAAGTTTTTTGAATGGTGCTTGAAAAACAAAATTTTGAAACTAAGCGCCATTCGGCAAAAAACTATTCAACAAACATTTTCATCTTGAAATTGGGTGAGGATTCGCTCCTATATTTTGTCAGAGAGGTAAGGAAACTCCCTGTTTATTTGAAATTTTCAGAAATTTTCACGATTTAATGAAAATTTCAGATAAGTGTCTTAGTTATGTGAACAATATAAAACCTGCACAGTGTTGGAAGACACAGTATATGTACAGTGTCATTCATAAAGTCGGCATCATATTGGAAAAACGTTTAATAATAATTTATTTCGAAATTCGACTTGGACGTTAAGTTTTTCTTAAAAAAAAATATAAAAAATTGACTACTCTGTGGGGACACGTGACTTTCAAAATATGATTTTTTTCAAATAAATCACTGAAAATAGGCTTATTTGTTTGAATTTTGAAAAAGTTTGCAAAGGAAAGTTGATTTAACGTAATATGTCTTGAATTTGAACATTCTATAACATCTTTTAGTTTTTGGTATTTTCTCAATGTAAGGTCTGTAATATCCAAAAAATTAACACCAATAAAACTATTGCATTCTAGTGGCTTCATCATGCTATCAATTTCCAATCACTATTTATGGACAAAAAATGATTTTCTTTAGGAAGTAATGATCCCAACTTGTAATTAATGTTATGTTTGATGCAAAGTTTATTTTCATTCAGGAGCAAAATTTATTTAAATTGATTTTTTCAGTATTAAAATGATGCCAAAGTAATCTATCAAAATATCATCAAATTACTACTTTATATATCTAACCAAAGTTTGGGACAGTTTTGTTGAAGTTACAATAAGGAAAATTATCAAGAACTAAAAGTTGCAATAGATTTAAATTCAAGACACTTGTGTAAATAAAGAATGGAAACAACTTTTCTAAGTAAACTTTTCTGAAATTCAAAGAAATAAGCCTAGTCACGTGATTCCGACTGAATAGTCCAATTTCCTCTTTTTTGAAGCAGAACCTAATGCCCAAGTGGAATTTCAAAATAAAATATTATCAAAAGGTTTTCCCATATGATGCCAACTTTATGAATGACACTGTATACAGGGTGCGTCTCTTACAATTAAACCCTCCCGTAATTTTTTTGTCTCAAGATACCTTGAGAATTTCTGAGAATTCCAATAAAATGTATCTTTCCCAATCGTAGGTATAGTAGTGGACACAGCACAAGCCCTGCGTTTCGCCACCGACATAGCCAAAGGAATGGCCTTTCTGCACAGCTTGGAGCGCACAGCTCCCGAGTTCTTCTTGAACAGCCGTCACGTGATGGTGGAAGAAGACCTCACGGCCAGGATCAACATGGCCGATGCGAAGTTCTCGTTCCAGGAGAAGGGCAGGATCTACTATCCTGCCTGGATGTCGCCAGAGGCGTTGCAGAAGAAGATAACGGACAGGAATTGGGAGGCTTCGGATATGTGGAGCTATGCCATAATGTTGTGGGAGCTGGCCACTAGGGAGGTGCCTTTTGCTGACCAGAGTCCAATGGAGGTGGGGATGAGGATTGCTTTGGAGGGGCTGCGGGTTAATGTGAAACCAGGCATATCGCCGCACTTGATCAAGCTGATCAATATTTGTATGAACGAAGATCCAGGGAAGAGGCCTACGTTCGATATGATACTGCCGATACTTGACAGGATGACTCGCTGATGATGATCGACCTCATGTGTTCAGAATGCTTTAACTTTTCAGTTGTAATGTTAATGTGGACTAATTGTTTTTAACATAGTAATTATTTATTGAGTGCCTTTTAAAATTGCCTTCGAATGTGCTTTCATAGATGGCTGTAACATAGCTTTATATTTTCAATAATATGTAGATGTAGGGAAGTTTATATTTTTTACAAATCTAATATTTTAGGTGTCTAATTTGTGAAATATATTTTTACTATACTTGAGTATTAATAAAACATGTTTGTTGAAGTTTGTCTACATATTTCACTAGATTTTTGATCCACAGAAAACAACTATTATTCCAGATTAAATTTGGGATTTTCTCTCCTTGTCTCTAATTGAAAATATCAATATTATTTCAATATACGTGTAGTGAGGACAAATCAGATGATTTGCACCAAAATGTCACTGTGGTTATAGTAATTTTCCTAACAAGTGCGGAAAGTTATTCTTTCCCGCACGCGACTGCCGTTGACACGAACGTTGCGGGAAAATGACACTTCCCAAACTAAATTGCGTGCGGGTATAGGGTGAATCACGCACGCTTGTAGAAAAAAGAATTTTCCTATCAGAGAGCCTAAAAGTAAAATTCACTAGCTTGTCAGTGACAATTTGTACGGATATATAAAGATTTGAAGAAGATAAATAAAGGTATATAGAAAAAAATATCAAATTTTCACTTATCTTTGGACGTTTCGAGAACGAATCTGCTCCCGTTTCAACATAAAAAATGGATTTTTGTATGGCAATTTCGTATTTGTCATAACACTTCTCAATTCTTACTGACAATTGGTGACGTTGTCAATCAAAGGGGTTACAGGGTTTTACGTTTTCATTAATTAATCTTGAATTTACCATTTTCAGATTTCAGTAGTGAATACCATTTTTTATCTATATCAACTGAACAGCGAAGCAATGCTTTTGTCTCCGTTCAGAAGAATGCAAGCAGATTCGTTGATTTTTCTCTTCTGAAACGTCCAAAGATAAGTGAAAATTTGGTATTTTTTCTATGTACCTTTATTTCTCTTCTCCAAATCTTCTTCAATTCAAATTGTAACTGACAGCTAGTGAATTTTTCTTTTAGGCTCTTTGATAGAAAAATTCTTCAAACGTAGTGACATTTTGGGGCAAATCATCTGATTTGTCCTTAATAAATTCTGAAATGTTTTTCTGTGCATTATGAAACCTCATAATGTGGGTTTTCTCCATGTTGAATGAAAGTGAGTTTGCACTGCACCATGAGTAGACGTCATTCAGTAACTGTTCACAATTGTCTTTAAGAGAATCCTCGTCCTCATTCGATATCAGTACTGACGTATCATCGGCGTATATGACGAATTGAGCATCAGTAGCTAAAGTGTCCAGCTCATTTACATAAAAAAGAAACAAAATTGGTCCCAATACGGAGCCCTGGGGAATGCCCAGATTGACATCAAGCCGGCTCGAATTGGCTATTCTGGATTCATTATTATTATTGTTGGTATTGATACAAACATATTGTTGGCGAGAGCATACAAAAGATTTTACCCAATTTAGAGCAACCCCACGCACACCATATGAGTATAATTTCGAGAACAGAATATTATGTTGAACACAGTCAAATGACCTGCTGAAATCACAAAAGATTCCAACAGGACACTCTCCTGCTTCTAAAAACTGAATCACCTTTTTGTAGAATGCTAAGGTGGCACTATTAGTCGATCTATTCTGACAGAAACCATGTTGATTCTTTGATAATAAATCATGTTTTTCAATAAATCCCATTAATCTATCTAGGAAGGCATACTCAAAGATTTTAGAGAAGCAGGAAGGAATTGTGATAGGTCTATAATTTTCCATTAATAACTGGTTAGATTTTTTATGAATCGGCACAATTTTCCCAACTTTCAATTCATGTGGAAAGGACCCTGTGAGAAATGAAAGATTTATTAGATAAGTGAGAGGTTCAATAATATGACTAAGGGATTTTTTGACCAAGAACATTGGAACTTCATCAGGACCCGAGTTACCATGGACTTCTTCTAAAGATTGAACTAGATTGTTGGTTCCCCTGGCTATAATTTTAGCAAGATCCTCATTGACAACGTTGACGTGCCTTAGCCGTGAGTTCTTAGTTTCCTAGGAAGAAATAGGAATTATGGAAGAGAACGCAAGCAACGATCATTAAAAATTGAAAGAAACTCCAGATGCAGGAAACGGGAACAGGAAATAGGAAACTCGGGAAAATCTATCGCTCACAGGTGAATAAAATAAAAGGTAATAATGAAACAATATAAGCCCTTATCCGGCTTTCGATCATGCGCACTTGGTTTTACCGCCACCAGAATATCGAATCCAGAAGCAGGAGTTGCCAAATTTATTTACACGATCAGTGAATCCTAGATATTCATTGCCAACTTTTTCTCTGAAAATTATGCATTAAAAGTGATCAATCATCTCTGGTGATATGGTTTTGAAATAAATATTACTTCAGTAGGTATAAGTAATAACCTAATCTCTGCATCATCAATAGGAAATATTTTTGCAATTAATGGTTAGAAACATCTAGAACAGGAAAAAAAAACAGTTAAACTCCGAAGAAATATCCCAAATAAAAAACAATGAACAGAAAAAATAAATTACTTATTTTATAACTTATAAAAAGGTCCCTATCCAAATAAGGATCCCAAATCCGAGTGTATAATCTCAAATTCGGAAAACAAACCAGAATTCAACGAAATAAGTCCGAATTCGAAGAAAAAAAAAGAGTTATTGAAGAAGAAGAAATCGAATTCAAAGGAAAAATACCGAATTCGAAGGAGTAAAGTTCGTATCCCGAGAAACAAGGATTTCGATAAAAAACAGCCCGAATTGAAATGATCAAGTATAATACTTGATATTGAGAAGAAAGACTGAATTTTGTTGAATAAATGTGATTTCGAAAGAGATGGTTCCGAATTTGAATAAAAAACGATTTACAATAATGACGGAATCAATTCTAAACCAAAGAAACGAGTTCCAATTCGGAATTAACAAACCAACATTCAAAAAAATACGTTCGAGTTCGAAGAAGATTTCGATTGTACGAATTGAAAGGAACTCGAATTCGAACGAGTATGTCCGATTTGGGAGTAAGAAAAAACTCCGATTAAAATTAGTACAAATTGGGAGAGTTGAGTCTGATATGAAAGGAACGAGAATTAATTAGAAGAAATAAGTCCGATTATGGAAAATTGTCTGAATAATTCAAAGGATGAAGTCCAGTTTTGAAGAGATTAATCATGATTCTGGATAACTAAGTCAGGTTTCGTAGCAAGAAGATCGAATTCGAAGAAGGGACGTCCGAATTCAAAGGAACAATTTTTAATTCGAAAAATGATGACTGGATTCAAAGAAACAAGACATATATCGAAGAAACACGATCAAATAAATAATAATCAAGTCCCAATTAGGAGAAACGTCCAAATTCGAATCCAAATAATTGAAAAAAATATATCATAACTTGAAGAAACCAGACAGAACTTATAGAAATACGTTCAAAAATTTAATGAACAAGTCCCAATTCGAGAAAACGTCCAAATTCGAACAAACGAGTCCAAATAATTCAAAAACGCAAGTCCGATTCAGAAGTAACAAGTCCAAATTCGAAGGAACAAGTTTGAATTCGAAGAATCATGTCCGGATTCAAAGCAACAGGACATATATTGAAGAAATATGTTCAAATAAATAATAATCAAGTCCCAATTAGGAGAAACATTCAAGTTCGAATCCAAATAATTGAAAGATATATGTCATAACTTGAACAAACCAGACAGAAATCGAAGAAATATGTTCAAAAATATAATGAACAAGTCCCAATTCGAGAAAACGTCCAAATTCGAACAAACGAGTCGAAATAATTTAAAGACGCAAGTCCGATTCAGAAGTGGCAAGTCTAAATTGTAGGAAAAAAGTCCAAATTCAAAGATTGATTCCAAATTCGGAAAAACGGAGTCCGAATTCGAACAGGGTTAAAGAGAAGCCCACACCGAACAAAACCAAGACGCTCCTCGCCGATCCGGCAACGCCGCCAGACAACTACCCCCGCTACAACCCTCCCCCTTCGCCCCCAACCCCCGAGACCTCCGAAGCTCGCGTAGCAAGCAGCCGGCCGGATAGCAACCCCGAAACGCGTCGGGCAGGGGCGAAATCGTGTCCTCCCTCGTCGGTGCTACCACCCGGGGGTCTCGAGAGGTGGGGACACACCGCCGGACCACCGGACATTCGCGCCGGACCACCGGACATTTTCGCCGGGCATTCGCGCCGGACACGCTATGGGTAGTCAGAGGTGGTGCTGATGGGCCTGGGGGAGATATGGAGGCGACCAGCTCGACGCCTGGATCGCCGAGGGACGCGGATTCGACGTTCTCCAGGTAGGGGCAACAGGGACATGTTCAAGGCCGTCTCAAATTTGCTGTCGCTCTTGGGTGCGCAAGAATATAGGACCCTTTAGGAAAGTTGAGATAGCGAAATATACCAAAATTTTTTATCTTCTATTCATTATGGGGGTAATGAAATACAAAACAAAAATGTTGACGGTGGCGCTGTTATAGGTACTGTGTTCGAAAAATATAAATGTGGGAGAATATTTTGGTCCTTCAGGGGGGCCATGGACACGGGCCCTTTGTGCCCTTATGGTGAAGATGGTATTGAACACTTTGGGTTTGTGTGCTATATAATATGGTGTGATGTGCATGTCTCGCGACGCTTGATCGATTGCTGCGATCGGAATGGGAGGATCAGCGTTGCCGATGGACTGGAAATATCCAGATTGTGAATCGTTATCCTGGAAGATTCCAGTTTCCTCGATTCTTCCGATTTGTTTCCATCAATGTACGTTTTATTTTCAAACTGAACTGATCAACAAAATTAACAGTTAACAATTCACTAGACCGATCTTTCAGTTACTTATGTCAGATCAAGATGAGTAAGGTGGCAATAATTGACACCTTGAATATTAGACTACAGAAATTCCAGATGAACGTTCTACCACCACTGTGTAAAATTGCAGCGCTGTCGTTATGTTCCCATTGGAGAAAATATATTTCATAATTTTTTTCTCGACCATGTCCTTGGACTGAAAATATCCAGATTTTGAATCGTTATCCAGGAAGATTCCATTTCCCTCGATTTTTCCGATTTGTTTGCATCAATGTACGCTTTTTAAGCGGACGTTTCATTTTTAAGCAAAAATGGATAAACTTATCAACAAAATTAACAATTAACAAT